TAATGTCTGCACCTGTTGTATTGGGGCGCATGACCAATAAAATTTGTTGATTGATTTGATTGATTCAGATGTTCATTGGCAAAATTCAGACGGGCCTGTATATGTGCTTTCTTGAGCAGGGGGACCTTGCGGGCGCTGCAGGATTTCAGTCCTTCACGCATAGTGTGTACCAATTGTTTCTTGGTGACTATGGTCCCAGCTGCCTTGAGATCATTGACAAGATCCTCCCGTGTAGTTCTGGGCTGATTCCTCACCGTTCTCATGATCATTGCAACTCCACGAGGTGAGATCTTGCATGGAGCCCCAGGCCGAGGGAGATTGACAGTTATTTTGTGTTTCTTCCATTTGCGAATAATCGCATCAACTGTTGTCACCTTCTCACCAAGCTGCTTGGTGATGGTATTGTAGCCCATTCCGCCTTGTGTAGGTCTACAATCTTGGTCCCTGACATCCTTGGTGGAGAGCTCTTTGGTCTTGGCCATGGTGGAGAGTTTGGAATCTGATTGATTGATTGCTTCTGTGGACAGGTGTCTTTTATACAGGTAACAAACTGAGATTAGGAGCACTCCCTTTAAGAGTGTGCTCCTAATCTCAGCTCGTTACCTGTATAAAAGACACCTGGGAGCCAGAAATCTTTCTGATTGCGAGGGGGTCAAATACTTATTTTCCCTCATTAAAATGCAAATCAATTTATAAACATTTTTGACATGCGTTTTCCTGGATTTTTTTGTTGTTATTCTGTCTCTCACTGTTCAAATAAAAACTACCATTAAAATTATAGACTGATCATTTCTTTGTCAGTGGGCATCAAATACTTTTTTCCCTCACTGTATGTTAGGAAATGATAAGGGCAAAACAGAATAAACATGATTGACACTTTGTTATCCAGATGCATGCCTGGATAGGGAATATAATCAACACATTATGTAATTATCCATAATATATGTACGTATATTATTTTTTGCCAATGTGTCCGAGTCACACACCAATACATTTTTTTATTTATTTATTTAACCAGGTAAGCCAGTTGAGAACAAGTTCTCATTTACAACTGCGACCTGGCCAAGATAAAGCAAAGCAGTGCGATAAAAACAACAACACAGAGTTACATATGGGGTAAAACAAAACATAAAGTAAAAAATACAACAGAAAATATATATACAGTGTGTGCAAATATGACAAGTTATGGAGGTAAGGCAATAATAGGCTATAGTGCAAAATAATTACAATTAGTATTAACACTGGAATGATACATGTGAAAGAGATGATGTGCAATGAGATAAGAGGCAGAGGCCCTGCCTAGAGAGACGACATGTGGGACTTTGGAAGCTAATGGTGGCGTGGCACTGAAAGACGTTAATCATTTACATAAAGAGGAGTAAACTATGTACGTTGTATAAGCATGACTATGCATGTTGTGTAAGCATGAAACCGTATAAAAGGAGAGCTCCGAGTCAGGGCAGACAGTTGCTCCATAGACTAGCTTGGCTTTGTTACTTTGTATTAAAGTCTATTCTGAATTCACAAGCTCCGGTTTCTGAGAGATATTATTGAACTAATATTTCTACCACATTTTCTTGTCCCAGCTTTGGATGCATTATGCTCTTATGCGGAGAGCCTCTGTGACACAGAGGAGAGCGGTCTCACTTGAGTGAGACACTATGAAGCCTGACTGGTTAGGGTCAAGAAGATCATTTGAGAAAGATAACAAAAGAGTTGGTCAGAGATGGCACGCTCAAGTGGTTTGGAAAGAAAAGAAAGAAGGGATACTGGTCTGTAGTTTTTGATGTCAGATGGGTAGAGCGTTGGTTTCTTGAGGAGGGGAGCAACTCTGGCCATCTTGAAGTCAGAGGGGATGCAGCCAGTGGTCACGGATGAGTTGATGAGGGAAGTGAGGAAGGTCTCCAGAGATGGTCTGGAGAAAGGAGGAGGGATGGGGTCAAGTGGGCAGGTTGTCGGGCGGCAGGATCATCACTAGTCGTAGGATTTCATCTGGAGAGAGAGGGGAGAAAGAGGTCAAGGCGTAGGGTAGTTTCTGCGTGAGTGGGACCAGTGGACTCAGTAGGCTGAGTGAAAGAGGAGCGGATGTCGTCAACCTTTTGTTCAAAGTGGTTGGCAAAGTCATCCGCAAGAGGGAGGAGAGAGGGGGAGGAGTTGGAGGATTAAGGAGGGAGGAGAAAGTGGAGAAGAGTTTCCCAGAGTTGGAGGCAGAAGCTTGACATTTAGAGTGATAGAAAGCGGCTTTAGCAGTGGAGGAATAGTAGGAAGAGAGGAGGGAGAGGAAGGATGATAGGTCCTCCGGAAGTTGAGTTTTCCTCCATTTCCGCTCAGCTGCCCGAAGCCGTGTTCTGTTAGCATGCAGTGAGTCACTCAGCCACTGATCGGGAGGGGAAGGTCGGGCCGGCTGGGGGGAAAGGGGACAGTGAGCGTCAAAGGATGCAGAAAGGGAGGATAGTAGGTTCAAAGAGGCAGTGTCAGGATACAGAAGGGAGAAGAATTTAGCAGAAGGTAGAGAGGATAGGATAAAAGAGGAGAGAGAGCAAAGGGTGCGGCAGCGCATGACCATCTGGGTATGCTTTTGATGTTCTTTTGTTATCGCTAGTTGTTTATTTCCCCACACCTAACACATTCAACGTGTATTCTATAGTAAAGGTTTTACATCAATTATATTGACTGTAGTTGAAATATGCTTGCCCTGTCTTCCCAATTATTTTACTGGATCCGTTTCTGAATTCTAGGTGGAGCCATAGACCACAGTACCCCTCACCCTGAGGGCCTACCTGTGTAGCCTACCACACCTTTTCTCATAGCACCACCAGCTGAAGAGAGTTTTCTCCCTAATCGTCTTCCCCGTGCCCTAAATGAACTTTGAACTTGTCCATTCCCTTTGAGTGATTATTCTGATGAAGGCCATTGTAGGCCCAAAGTTTGTCTTTTGACCTTGCTTAAATAAAACACATTTCTAATGGTGAGCAAGTGTTGCGCATTTGCCTTTGCAATGATGATTACATTTTTGGGTTGCACCTCGACTTAAGTTGGTTGAGAGTCCTCCTCTTCTTTCCTAAAAAACTGAATCACGTCCAAAAAAAGTATTGTTCAAAATAGAATCCTGTTGAAGATCTTGCATAATATGCACAAGATACTAAAGAAAAATATATACCTAAACTAAATATGTAAATCTTAACTCCAGTGCCTGAAAGTGAGTGATAAACAGTTCACATATTATACTATGTATCAGGGTTGGGGTTCATTCCACAAATTAAATTCTAATTAAATTCCCTCTCCCTGTAAATTCCATTTAATTCAATTAAAATTTGAGGTTAGTAATATGTTTTTATTAATACATACACCAGATAGGTGCAGTGAAATGTGTTGTTTTGCAGGGTCAGCCATAGTAGTAGAGAGCCCCTGGAGCAAATTAGGGTTAAATGCCTTGCTCAAGGGCACAGACAGATTTTTACCTTGCGGATTCAAACCTTTCGGTTGCTGGCCCAACGCTCTAACCTGCTGCCCCAGTCTTTGAATTCATAGATAATACAATTCCTCTGAATTCCAATGTTGGGTACATTCCAAGAATTCAATTCCCAATTCAATATTATCCCCAACAATTCCCTCAGGCTTTCAGGCGGATCATTTCACTGTTCAGACATCCTAGCTAGAAATACAAGTTGAAATGACTTAAAACAAATCTTGCAGTAAAATGATTATACTAAGTGCATTAATTCCATTAACTGAGAAGAATATTGAACTCCAATTAAATTCCCAAATAAAACATTTTTAGAATTCCAATTCAATTCCAATTCAAACTGTCTAAACATTCTAATTCTAATTAAATTCCATAACTTGAAGATTGTTGAAATTAGAATTGAAATCAAATCCTGTGGTCCTCTGTAGCTCAGCTGGTAGAGCACGGCGCTTGTAACGCCAAGGTAGTGGGTTTGATCCCTGGGACCACCCATACACAAAAAAAAAAAATGTATGCACGCATGACAGTAAGTCGCTTTGGATAAAAGCGTCTGCTAAATGGCATATTATATTATTATTATAATATAAATTCTCCACCTCCTTAATGGATTAAATAATTAAATTGGAATTTTAAATTAAAATGTAATTAACCCCAACCATGCTATGTATACTTATGCTATGTATGAGATAAGATAAGATTTTGGGAAATGTTATTGCACCAGCCAATACCTACAGTGCCATCAGAAAGTATTCAAACCCCATGACTTATTCCACATTTTGTTGTTACAGCCTGAATTCAAAATGGATTAAATAGATTTTTTTACTCAGCCATCTACACACAATACCCCATAATGACAAATTGAAAACATGTTTTTCGACATGTTTGCAAAATGATTGAAAATGAAAAACAGAAATCTCATTTACATAGGTATTCAGACCCCTTTACTATGACACTCCAAATTGAGCTCAGATGCATCCAATTTCCTTAGATCATCCTTGAGACGTCACTGCAACTTGATTGGAGTCCACCTGTGGCCAATTCAATTGTTTGGACATGATTTAGAAAGAAACACACCTGTCTATATAAGGTTCCACAACAGTGCATGTCAAAGCAGAAACTATACCATGAAGTTCAAAGAACTGTCCGTAGAGCTCTGAGATAGAATTGTGATGAGACATATCTGGGGAAGGGTATAAAACAATTTCTAGAGTGTTGAAAGTTTCCAAGAGCACAGTGGTCTCCATCATTGGAAAATTGAAAAAATATGGAACTACCCAGACTCTGCCTAGAGCTGGCCGTTTGACCAAACTGAGCAACCGGGCAAGAAGGACTTTGGTCAGGGAGGTGACCAAGAACCCAATGACCACTCTGACAGAACTACAGAGTTTCTTGGCTGAGATGGGAGAACCTGCCAGAAAGACAACAGTCTCTACAGCACTTCACCAATCTGGGCTTTATGGGATAAGTCATTCCTGAGAAAAAGGCACATGACAGCACGCCTGGAGTTTGCAAAAAGGCACGTGAAAGACTGAGAGCATAAGGCAAAAGATTCAGTGATCTGATGAGACAAAAATGTATCTCTTTGCCCTGAATGCAAAGAGCTATGCCTGAAGCAAACCAGGCACAGCTCATCACACATCTAACACCATCCCTACCGTGAAGCATAGTGGTGGCAGCATCATGCTATGGGGATGCTTCTCAGCGGCAGGAACTAGGAGACTGGTAAGGATAGAGGGAACAATGAATGGAGCCAAATACAGGCACATCCTTGATGAGAACCTGCTTCAGAGTGCAAACGACCTTAGACTGGGGTGAAGTTTTACGTTCCAACAGGACAATGATCCCAAGCATACAGCCTAAGCAATACTGGAATGGCTTCAGAGCAAGAATGTGAAAGTCCTTGAGTGGCCCAGCCAAAGCCCAGACTTGAATACCATTATAAATCTGTGGAAAGACGTGAAGATTGCTGTTCACCGCCGCTCCCAATCTAATTTAACAGAGCTTGAGAAAATATGCAAGGAAGAATGGGTAGAAAATCCCCAAATCCAGATGTGCAAAGCTGATACAGACATACCCAAGACGACTCAAAGCTGTAATCGCCGCCAAAGGTGATTCTACAAAGTATTGACTCAGGAGTGTGAATACTTATGTAAATGAGATATTTCTGTATTTCATTTTCAATATATTTGCAAACAAACTGTGGAGGCATTTGGAATGCAACTCCTGTGTAATTGTGAGAAGTGGGTGTGGCAAAGACACTCCTCCTATAGGCTTGCGACTGACACATCCCTCTCAGAGATTGACCACTGACTGAGTCCCAAGGACCTGGAGGAAGAACGGTGAGAAGCTGGTCTGTATTGAAGCTCTTGCAGATTGCTTCAACAGAGATATGAAATACATGCTTTGGAAAGCTTTTTGTAAAATGATGTTTACACTAGGTTCAATGCTATATTGAGAAGGCTTGTTTAGACTCATTTTTATTTAGTTTTTTGTCTGGCCTTTCTGTTTATCCGTTGTAGCCTGAGACACCATTCTCCACCATCTCCTCATCTGTCTCCTTGTTTCCTGTGGACCTGCCAACGTTTGCCTCAGTGACACATCACTTAGTGAAGAACATGGATCTTGATGGTAACCTGATACCTGTGCCCTCTCTGAACAACTCAGGCAAACTGACCCCTCGCTCACTGGTTCCAAACGCCTGCCACCGACTTTCTTTTTCTGGAAAAAACTAAACAAATGCGTGCCGACTGACTTTACACTCAGTACTGTGCTCACCGGAGACACACCCTTAACCCCAGGTAAACACCAGAGCAGCCCATCATTTAACACAGAAATGTTCTAGGCTACACACATGTATTTAAACTTGCTGATTTATATAATAATAATAATAATAATATGCCATTTAGCAGACGCTTTTATCCAAAGCGACTTACAGTCATGCGTGCATACATTTTTACGTATGGGTGGTCCCGGGGATCGAACCCACTACCCTGGCGTTACAAGCGCCGTGCTCTACCAGCTGAGCTACAGAGGACCACATTTATACAACCTATATGTTCTCTTTACCGCAGTAGGCTGTTGTTGAGAAAGTTATTAGATTTTATTATTCATGCTACTCTATGTATGAATCGATTAGGAAAATGATCATGTCATGGACGTGGCTGTTACAGATATATGTTTTGTGCCATAATAGAGTCCATGCTAATGTTGAACTTTCCGTCAGTTGTCAAGGAGAGTGACATTGTGGACTACAGTGGGACATTTTGTTACAGCAGAGAAGCCATTGTAGACGTGGGGACACAATTGGCGACAGATACAGTGGATTTAAACTTTAATTCTGGGACTGAACATGCCTCCACACTCGAGTCGTCCTTTGGCAGACTGAAGAAAGAGAAAGAGGAAGTGAATGGGTTATTTAGCGACTCAAAAGACAAGTAAGCTACCCTCTTATATATGGGGAAGAGGACGTTTAAAAAGGAAGTAACATCTTTATAAACACACACACTATGATCGGTGAAACCTGCTGTGCTGGTTTAAAGTACCAAAAGAGCGGAAATTAAATTGTTTTCAACTGAAAGGCGATGCACAGAGTTACCCATGATGTTACACAGCGATTGAAGTCAATCATTGTCAGAATCTCTAGGACCTGGAGGAAGAAACTGTGAAAACCTGGTAACTATTGAAGCTATTGCAGGTTATTAAATACTATAATGAAATACTGCTCTTTCAGGTTATGCTTTGGATGCATATATGGGTCGGACAGCTGTGACATCATTGATAATATAATGTTGGAAGCACAGCCATGCACAGAAAAAGGTGCTATCTAGAACCTAAAAGTCCTCATAGGAGAACCCTTTTGTTCCCAGTAGAACAGTTTTGGGTTCCATGTAGAACCCTTTCCACAGAAGGTTCTACATGGAACCCAAAATGGTTCTACCTGGAACCAAAAAGGGTTCTCCTAGATATCTGTGTATGGGTGTAGTCGCACATGCATAACCACAGATGTAGGCTGTTTAAAGTGGTAGGCAACACGTCTGTGGTAAGCACAAAGCGTTGGTGTCAACTTTCTGAATTCGTTAGTAACAGAAGTTGGACTGACATATTTTCAAGCACATTTGGTAGATATGCCAAATTCAAACACGTTACCTTGCATCTTATTTAATAGTACATTCCCTTTACATTGCTTATTTGGATCAAGATCAAACTATTTTCAACTCTCAAAGTCCAGGGTAAGAGGTGTTATTTTAGTTTCATTTGATTGTTTATTTCATACCCTTAGTGTAAGAGTATTTGGCTTTACAGAAAACTTGAATTAGTAGTGAATGTTAGGTTGTTGGCTTTCTGTTGATCTCTGTTGTTTTAAAAATACTTCTAATTTTAAAAGATCCTGACTTGAAATCCTAAGTTAGGTGTCAGATATTCAGCAAATGATCTATTAGGAACATGTTATTATGAATATGAGGTATAAAAATGGTGGCATTCTCCTTTAAATTTGTACAGGGCTCTTTACATAGTTTACGTACAAACCAGATTATAATTCCCGGTAATTTGGCAAGTACCAAGGACATAAAAATGTATGACCAATTCCCTGCACCCTGCATTTGAGACATTCTAGTATGTCATTCTTAATAACATATTGTATCTTTACAATCTTTCAGTGTCGTAAGGACCCAGGGGAAGAAACGGTGAGAACCTAGTATTGAAGCTCTTGCTGATTTTTGCGACATAAAGATTAAGTAAGAAAACTGACTGCATGCTATTGATAGCCTTGAATGATACACAACCAATGTTTTTGACTGAAATTATATCCTGTTTGTCTTTATATCCTGTTTCCTGTCTTGTCAAAAGCAATGCTACTCTGTTCTGATACTCTTTTTCACTGGAAAGGGAACCTTTCAAAAAGATTGTGTTTGCATTATTGAGTGTCTTGCCATCTTTCATGTGTGTGAAATGTATTTAGAATGCTCCTCAGAAGCTGTTGTAATGAATGAGTGTTCATGTCTTTATCCTAGTTTTGTTTATTAAATGTCTTTCTCATTTGTGTCTTTGTCATCTGCTGCAGCCAGAAACACGATCCACCACCATCTCTCAAATGTTTTCCAAAGCCACAAAAGCCTTCGTGAAGGACACAGATCATGATGGACGCCTGATTCCGGTGTCCAGTCTGAACGACACAGACAAACTGAATCTCCGATCACTCATTGTCAAGACCAGGCACAGATGCTTCTGGCAGGAACCCAAATACCAGTCCCCTGGCTTTACCCTCAGTGATGTCCTGAAGCCTGGAGAGCCTGGAGATGCACCTTTAAGCCCAAGTAAGCACCAGAGCAGCCCTTTAGTGAAGAATAACTATGGGTTGTTGTTGTTCTAAAATATCTGACCATTGATTTTCATTATTTATCCTACTCTTGCCTTTCTGAATAAATTATGAAAATGATCAGGTTGTGGATGTGGCTGTTATAGATACACTACATGCCCAAAAGTACGTGAACATCCTGCTCGTCGAACGTCTCATTCCAAAATCTTGGGCATTAATATAGAGTTGGACCCCCCCTTTGCTGCTATAACGGCCTCCACTCTTCTGGGAAGTCTTTCCACTAGATGTTGGAACATTGCTGCGGGGACTTCCATTCAGCCACAAGAGCATTAGTGAGGTCGGGCACTGATGTTGGGCGATTAGGCCTGGCTCGTAGTCGGCGTTCCAATTCATCCCAAAGGTGTTCGATGGGGTTGAGGTCAGGGCTCTGTGCAGGCCAGTCAAGTTCTAACACATATCTCAACAAACCATTTCTGTATGGACCTCGCTTTGTGCACGGGGGGCATTGTCATGCTGAAACAGGAAAGGGCCTTCCCCAAACTGTTGCCACAAAGTTGGATGCACAGAATCGTCTACAATGTCATTGTATGCTGTAGTGTTAAGATTTCCCTTCACTGGAACTAAGGGGCCTAGACTGAACCATGAAAAACAGCCCCAGACCATTATTCCACCTCCACCAAACTTTACAGTTGGCACTCTGCATTGGGGCAGGTAGTGTTCTCCTGGCATCCACCAAACCCAGATTCGTCCTTCGGACTGCCAGATGGTGAAGCGTAATTCATCACTCCAGAGAACGTGTTTCCATTGCTCCATAGTCCAATGGCGGCGAGCTTTATACCACTCCAGCCAACGCATGGTATTGCGCATGGTGATCTTAGGCTTGTGTGCGGCTGCTCGGCCATGGAAACCCATTTCATGAAGCTCCCGACGAACAGTTCTTGTGCTGAAATTTTGCGAACTGACTTGTTGGAAAGGTGGCATCCTAGGACGATGCCACGTTGAAAGTCACTGAGCTCTTCAGTACGGGCCATTCTACTGCCAATATTTGTCTATGGAGATTGCATGGCTGTGTGCTCGGTTTTATACACCTGTCAGCAACGGGTGTGGCTGAAATAGCCAAATCCACTAATTTGAAGGGGTGTCCACATACTTTTGTAAACGTAGTGTATTGTGTATATGCTGTGGTATAGTAGCATAGAGGATTCAATTCTAATGTTGAACGTTCCTTCAGCTGTCAAGGAGTGTGACTTTGTGGACTACAGTGGGACATTTGGTGACAAGAAAGAAATGAACGCAGATGGAAACGTGCAGGCAAAGGTGGCTGATTTCAAATTTACCTTGGGAGGGAAATGGTCCACCAAACAGAAGCTGTCCCTTGGCAGCCTGAACAAAGAGAAGGTTGATGTGAAGGAGTTATATAACTACTCAAAAGACAGGTGAGTTACCCTATACTGGACGTATGTTCAATACAGTCATATACAGTCATAATACATCATACAGTTCACCTTCCCAAGGAGTCAATATTTAGACCCAAGACCAGCAGGCAAAACTGGTTGCAATGACATCAGACAGGTATATTTTGTGTAAAAATTACAATTTCAGGTTGAAGTTCTTTCAGATAACAAAGAATTGGAACTGTACTGGTTTCGCAACTTCCTAATACTTAAAATATATCCTCACTGATTTCCCTATTAGCTTAGCTTAAAGTGCCAATCTATGATTGGTACATACATTTTTTGAATTTTAAAGTAGATTTCCAGTGTTTCCAGATTTCTATGAAATCTGACATACTGTATAATGGGTCCCTCCTGCAGAGTTATGGACATGTCCCATCCTGTGATCAAGCAGACCCGTGTGAATCCAAGGGCAGTGTTAGGCGTCTTGACGGAGAGGATTATGACGTCATTACCTTGCCCGGTCACAAACAATGTCCGGATGCACGGTAATGTAGGAGCCAACGTGAGCGCCTTTGTGGCCCTGAGCGGGAAGGTAGGAGGAAAGATTAACAAGCGTTCTACTGAAGTGGCTTGCCAAAGTATTCACCCCCCTTGGCATTTTTCCTATTTTGTTGCCTTACAACCTGGAATGAAAATTGATTTTTTGGGGGTTTGTATCATTTGATTTACACAACATGCCTACCACTTTGAAGATGCAAAATATTTTGTGTGTGTGAAACAAACAAGAAATAAAACAAAAAAACAGAACTTGAGTGTGCATAACTATTCAGCCCCCCAAAGTCAATACTTTGTAGAGCCACCTTTTGCAGAAAATACAGCTGCAAGTTTCTTGGGGTATGTCTCTATAAGCTTGGCATATCTAGCCACTGGGATTTTTGCCCATTCTTCAAGGCAAAACTTCTCCAGCTCCTTCAAGTTGGATGGGTTCCGCTGGTGTACAGCAATCTTTAAGTCATACCACAGATTCTCAATTGGATTGAGGTCTGGGCTTTGACTAGGTCATTCCAAGACATTTAAATGTTTCCCCTTAAACCACTTGAGTGTTGCTTTAGCAGTATGCTTAGGGTCATTGTCCTGCTGGAAGGTGAACCTCCGTCCCAGTCTCAAATCTCCGGAAGACTGAAACAGGTTTCCCTCAAGAATTTCCCTGTATTTAGCGCCATCCTTCAATTCTGACCAGTTTCCCAGTCCCTGCCGAGGAAAAACATCCCCACAGCATGATGCTGCCACCACCATGCTTCACTGTGGGGATGGTGTTCTCAGGGTGATGAGAGGTGTTGGGTTTGCGCCAGACATAGCGTTTTCCTTGATGGCCAAAAAGCTCAATTTTAGTCTCATCTGACCAGAGTACCTTCTTCCATGTTTGGGGAGTCTCCCACATGCCTTTTGGTGAACACCAAATGTGTTTGCTTATTTATTTATTTAAGCAATGGCTTTTTTTTGGCCACTCTTCCGTAAAGCCCATCTCTGTGGAGTGTACGGCTTAAAGTGGTCCTATGGACCAATCTCCACTGTGGAGCTTTGCAGCTCCTTCAGGGTTATCTTTGGTCTCTTTGTTGCCTCTCTGATTAATGCCCTCCTTGCCTGGTCCGTGAGATTTGGTGGGCGGACCTCTCTTGGCAGGTTTGTTGTGGTGCCATATTCTTTCAATTTTTTGATAATGGATTTAATGGTGCTCCGTGGGATGTTCAAAGTTTCTGATATTTTTGTATAACCCAACCCTGATCTGTACTTCTCCACAATTTTGTCCCTGACCTGTTTGGAGAGCTCATTGGTCTTCATGGTGCCACTTGCTTGGTGGTGCCCCTTGCTTAGTGGTGTTGCAGACTCTGGGGCCTTTCAGAACAGGTGTATATATACTGAGATCATGTGACAAATCATGTGACACTTAGATTGCACACAGGTGGACTTTATTTAACTAATTATGTGTCTTCTGAAGGTAATTGGTTGCACCAGATCTTATTTAGGGGCTTCATAGCAAAGGGGGTGAATACATATGCACGCACCACTTTTCAGTTATTTATTTTTTAGAATAAGTAATTTTTTTCATTTCACTTCACCAATTTGGACTATTTTGTGTATGTCCGTTACATGAAATCCAAATAAATAATCCATTTAAATTACAGGTTGTAATGCAACAAAATAGGAAAAACGCCAAGGGGGATGAATACTTTTGCAAGGCACTGTATTTCTGGTTACTCAGATTTAGATGATCCCTGTAAAATATATTTTTTATATCAATAATCTCACTTTATGATAGCTAGGCCTTCATAAATAAAGTAAATGTCAAGACCATATTGACAGATAACAGATGTCTGTTCAGTAGTGGTAATAGTCACAGATGTCTGTTCAATAGTGGTAATAGTCACAGATGTCTGTTCAATAGTGGTAATAGTCACAGATGTCTGTTCAGTAGTGGTAATGCTATCTCTTGCTCTAGTCAGAATGCTGTAGCTGGGTCGTTCCATGAAAAGAGTACCTTTGATATTTAAAGTACAATTTTTTTTTATATGAATAAAGACTTTCTATAATGCCACAATTCAGCATTTTGACATGTCAGTCCGTGCACCCTCTGTGACTTCTAGACATTTTTTAACCCACTTATTCCAAAATGTCTCCACATTTTCACCATCATTGTAAAGCCCTAGTTCTTTTGTTGTTTTGACAGTCATTTCTGAAGATTATTATTTATTTCATGTGATTAGTGATTCATTTACGTCTGGTCCCTCATTTTAAGGTCAACCCTGTTACGTGAACTGAACTCTCGTTTTAATATGGTGAAACTTTTCTCTGAATAAATATTCAACATCTAATAGTGAAATCATAGTGTAAAAGCAGGTAAGCTGGTTCTACTCTTTTTAGGCAATTTTGTGGTGGAAAACTGAGCAGGTCGAGCGTAAGACTTCAAACCTGTTATCCATAGATACAAATAAAAAAATGGTGAAGCTTGCATTCAATTGCCACTCCCTGCAAACAACAAGCTTCCATTCCCTCTGTCACAAGGATATTTATGGCTGATTTAAAATGGTCAACCCTGTTACGGTCAACCTTGTTACTTAACAGGCACTTACTATAGTCATAAAAAAAACAAAAAACTCTTGATGGGAAACATGTTTTTTTATGAAGTTGAACCTGTGCTCTTTATGACAGACTGTTCAAATTAGGTGAAATCCCAAAATAAATTTGAGCAAGTTACACTTCTCAAAAGGCACCAAATAGTTTTTTGTCATTAGAACCACTTACTGAAAATGTAATGGTGTAGTAGAGGTGACTATCTGGGTCATCTGTGTCCCAAACGTATCTGACTGATTTGACATTTTCTCCACAGGCTTCTATGAAGCAGAGCGGCAGTACTCAGACAGATAGGGATGTGTCACTGGGTATTCCTGCAAATACTGTCATGGCCTACAGTCTGATTGAACTCTTCGTCAAATGCAATGGACAGTTTGGTGAGGAAGTGTATGGTTTATCAATATAATAATAATAATAATAATAATAATAATAATAATAATAATATCCCAGGTATAGCTGCATGGTTAAGTACTGTGATGGAAATGTTAATGTTGGTGCTTTTCGATTCTATACATATCTATGTTCTATTCACGTGCTGTTCTAATAACCAATTTCTGTGTTCATAAAAGTGATGGATCGGACGAATCCTCACTTATCAGTATCTGCAATTTGGCAGTACGCCCAGACCTTGTTTTGAGAACAAAAGATATCTCTGTTTCAAGGTCTCAGCTTAGAGAGAAGAAGCCTCGTGAGATATTGGTCTGTCACATGTTATGAACCAGTATTGGTTGGTCACACGAATGAAACAAAACAGTAATGATTAATTAATTATGCTAGATCATGCAAATATAACTTGTCTGTGTATAGCCATATACAGTTGAAGTCGGAAGTTTACATACACCTTAGCCAAATACATTTAAACTCAGTTTTTCACAATTCCTGACATTTAATCCTAGTATAAATTCCCTGTCTTAGGTCAGTTAGGATCACCACTTTATTTTAAGAATGTGAAATGTCAGAATAATAGTAGAGAGAATTATTTATTTCAGCTTTTATTTATTTCATCACATTCCCATTGGGTCAGAAGTTTACATACACTCAATTAGTATTTGGTAGCATTGCCTTTAAATTGTTTAACTTGGGTCAAACATTTTGGGTAGCCTTCCACAAGCTTCCCACAACAAGTTGGGTGAATTTTGGCCCATTCCTCCTGACAGAGCTGGTGTAATTGAGTCAGGTTTGTAGGCCTCCTTGCGCGCACACGCTTTTTCAGTTCTGCCCACAAATTTTCTATAGGATTGAGGTCAGGGCTATGTGATGCTACTCCAATACTTTGACTTTGTTGTCCTTAAGCCATTTTGCCACAACTTTGGAAGTATGCTTGGGGTCATTGTCCATTTGGAAGACCCATTTGCGACCAAGCTTTAACTTCCTGACTGATGTCTTGAGATGTTGCTTCAATATATCCACATAATTTTCCTTCCTCATGATGCCATCTATTTTGTGAAGTGCACCAGTCCCTCCTGCAGCAAAGCACCCCCACAGCATGATGCTGCCACCCCCGTGCTTCACGGTTGGGATGGTGTTCTTCGGCTTGCAAGCCACCCCCTTTTTCCTCCAAACATAACGATGGTCATTATGGCCAAACAGTTCTATTTTTGTTTCATCAGACCAGAGGACATTTCTCCAAAAAGTAAGATCTTTGTCCCCATGTGCAGTTGCAAACCGTAGTCTGGCTTTTTTATGGCGGTTTTGGAGCAGTGGCTTCTTCCTTGCTGAGTGGCCTTTCAGGTTATGTCGATATAGGACTAGTTTTACTGTGGATATAGATACTTTTGTACCTGTTTCCTCCAGCATCTTCACAAGGTCCTTTGCTGTTGTTCTGGGATTGATTTGCACTTTTCGCACCAAAGTACGTTCATCTCTAGGAGACAGAATGTGTCTCCTTCCTGAGTGGTATGACGGCTGCGTGGTCCCATGGTTTTTATAATTGCGTACTATTGTTTGTACAGATGAACGTGGTACCTTCAGGCATTTGGAAATTGCTCCCAAGGATGAACCAGACTTGTGGAGGTCTACAATTGTTTTGCTGAGGTCTTGGCTGATTTCTTTAGATTTTCCCATGATGTCAAGCAAAGAGGCACTGAGTTTGAAGGTAGGCCTTGAAATACATCCACAGGTACACCTCCAATTGACTCAAATGATGTAAATTAGCCTATCAGAAGCTTCTAAAGCCATGACATCATTTTCTGGAATTTTCCAAGCTGTTTAAAGGCACAGTCAATTTAGTGTATGTAAACTTCTGACCCACTGGAATTGTGATACAGTGAAATAATCTGTCTGTAAACAATTATTGTTAAAATTACTTGTGTCATGCACAAAGTAGATGTCCTAACCGACTTGCCAAAACTATAGTTTGTTAACAAGAAATTTGTGGAGTGGTTGAAAAACGACTTAAACTGTATAAGACAACTGCTTGGACTGCCCCAGCAGAGCTTCTGACAGACATTCACTATGGTTCATTAAGTTTGTTGGAACCTCTCCAGCGCGCTGACAATAAAGGATGATTTATTTAAGATTGACTTTGAGTGTCCCTGTGTAAGAACAGTACCATGATAAAGTACACGCCAGCTTCTATGTTCCTCAGTGTATTTAGTACAGCCACTGTATCTGTCTGTGTGTGACTGGTTATGGCTGTTGTCTGCTCTTGTCCACAGAGCTGTGCCTCATCCGCAACAATGGGGGCTTTGAAAAGGTTAAGTCAAATTATGAGTTTGAAGAGGATGGAATTATGGACCTGGTGTGCGACTTTGACGCCAACAGCCCCCTAAATCGAAACAAAGGTAATAATGCCAGTGGAGGCTAATGTCTCCTGTCTAGTGGTCAACATGTAGTCTACCGAATGGAATGTTCAAAATGGTCTCTGTGTTGTTTGTGTGACAGAACTGGAGAAACTGAGTAGTCATTTCCGGCTGCTGTCAGTCCTGCCAGCGGCCAAACGCTCCTCTCTGCTCCAGCTCCTCAAGACAACCATGGAGGATGGAGAGGCAGTCAGTGTGCTGGAGAGTGTGGTGAGTGGTAGAGGTCTTCACGGGTCCAGCAGATCTGAGATCCGACCGCAGCAGGGGCACGTTGTCAGTTTCAGCTGGACATAAGCTATACGTTTTATTGAGTTGCAATTGGAACAGATAACAAGAGGACGGGTCCAATCAGGTCCAGTTGGTAAATCAATTTTAATTGCACATACCCGAGAACTGTGGCAATTAGATCCGACCCAGATCCAAGACAATTCCGAATTTAGGACCCAGACCCGAACGCACTCGGGTCCCGGTCCTAAATTCGGACTTGTCTCGGATCTGGGTCAGATCTAATTGCCAGGGTTCTCGGGTATGTGCAATTAAAATTGATTTACCAACTGGACCTGATTGGACCTGTCCTCTTATCTGTTCCAATTGCAACTCAATAAAACATATAGCTTATGTCCAGCTGAAACTGACAACGTGCCCCTGCTGCTGAGGAGCGATAGAGAGTAAAAAGAGTATTGGCCTTGGCTACTGTTATTTGTGAAGATGGAGGCCTTTTTCATTGAAGTAAAATGAAAGTTAGAGGAGAAAGAGTGTAGTGAAAAGAAGCCGACAAGGGGAATGTCCTCCGTGGGACAAGTTTTAATACTGTAGTGGACAAATATGAGAAGAATGTTGGCACAGCCAAATGGACTGTGTGCAACTCGCTATAAAGGTTTGATGCAATTTTCGAACTTTTATTTATTTATTTTCGTATTATCATTTGTTTTATTATTATTATTGTATATCATTATTATTGTATGCCTATTTAATAATCTAAACCAGTTATTTAAATATGCAGTGTTTTGTTTCATTTTGTTGAGCGGTATCCACAGTTCAATTTATTCAGACCCCTAATATTACACACTAAGGCGGTATCCACAGAATCTATTCTGCCCGTTCAGATCCCTGGCAATATACTAAGGCGGTATCCACAGAGTCTACCCCGCCCGTTCAGTCCTCTGGAGTTCTACTTTCTTAGTTCTCCGAAGCGGTATCCACAGGTACATTTCCGTTCAGCCCTCAAGTACTATATTTCCTTAATACACCTACAGCGGTATCCATAGGTACCTGTCCGTTCAGCCCTCTAGTACTATATTTCCTTAATACACCTAGAGAGGTATCCACAGGATTTTTGCCTACCCATGCTGCCCCCTAGTGATACACTTCCTCAACACACTAGAGCGGTATCCGCATGACTTTACTTATGTTAACATACATGCATGCTTTTTGTCTCTTTCCAACAAAAACTCTGCACTTTTTTCCTAAATTTAGCCTGTAGTTCTGGAGAGACATCCGATACATTACCTCCGAATCAGCTGATCCGAACCACACAAATGTCTATGCTAAAAAGTAAGAACTCTGCTTAACTCTTTTACAGTGGCCACTGTGTTTTGTGTGGTTCGTTCAGCCTCCTCCGGATGTCTCAATACCCGTCTAATCCCTTTTTCCAGTCCCTTCGTGGTCGCCAATTATGTTGTGGAAAATTGTCCTTATCCTCATTAAAAAATAAAGTACATCCAGAGTTTTTGTAGAATCAAGATATACTTTATTGCACAAGCAATAGAGCCGAGGTGGTCTGCAGAGCAACTAACTCTCCAACCCTCAGTTCTCAGTTTATATACAGTTCCATTATTGCTCATAGTACACGCCTTTTTTAGCTTAATCCCTCCCTGGTTAGTTCCTCCACCATTGTTTCCAATCTTAACATCTTGACCGTCCCGCCCACTTGTTTATTCTTTAATAGAACAATCTGACTTCTTTTCCAAGACCAAACCCTGTCATGTAAAAAATAACAGAGCCATTTCATCTCTGTTTTAACATTTTAAATGGTTCTTAATCCATAGGCATATAGGGCATATAGGCGTTGAATGCATAATTCATATAATTGGTTTGTTATGTTGTCTGCCCTTAATTGAGACAGAGTAGTTAACTAAAGATCTCCAATGGCACTCACCTTTATTGGTAATTGCTGCAATATAGGCCTTTTCAACATTTGTGTGAAGGTTTAATTCTGTTGAGCCATTTTCTTTGACCAAATTAAGTTCCAACTGTAATGTTGTGTTTGATGCAATATAATAGAATTACCGCTAGGCCTACTATAGGGCTACTACTATAGGGCTACTACTATAGGGCTGCTACTACTATAGGGCTGCTACTACTACTATAGGGCTGCTACTACTACTATAGGGCTACTACCTTAGGACTACTACTATAGGGCTACTACTACTATAGGGCTGCTACTACTACTATAGGGCTACTACTACTATAGGGCTGCTACTACTATAGGGCTGCTACTATAGGGCTACTACTATAGGGCTGCTACTACTATAGGGCTGCTACTACTATAGGGCTGCTACTACTATAGGGCTGCTACTACTATAGGGCTACTACTATAGGGCTGCTACTATAGGGCTGCTACTATAGGGCTACTACTATAGGGCTGCTACTACTATAGGGCTACTACTATAGGGCTACTACTATAGGGCTGCTACTACTACTATAGGGCTGCTACTATAGGGCTGCTACTACTATAGGGCTACTACTATAGGGCTGCTACTACTACTATAGGGCTGCTACTACTACTGTAGGGCTGCTACTACTACTATAGGGCTGCTACTACTATAGGGCTACTACTATAGGGCTGCTACTATAGGGCTGCTACTATAGGGCTGCTACTACTATAGGGCTGCTACTACTACTATAGGGCTACTACTACTATAGGGCTACTACTATAGGGCTGCTACTACTACTATAGGGCTACTACTATAGGGCTACTACTATAGGGCTACTCGCACTCAAACCATCACAAGGAAAAAACAAAGATGGCGAGACGCCAAACTTAATTTAATGTCGCAATATAATAAGCTGTTCCTATTTTCCCTATTAACAATGCCTTGACTTACTTCTGATATTACCCTGATAAAGTTAAGAAACTTTAGTGAAGGTGTGGCTATTACTAGGCTATAGTTCTACTGCAGGCCTATGAAGGCAGTGCGCTGACAGTTGAACTTGAGGTGAGGAAGAGTGTTTTAGACCTACCGGAGTTACTCCTTTATTCTAACAATATAATGCTTATCTTTATAAAAAATATTCGGACAGAAAATTAACGAATTAGCTTCCTTCTTTATGCCTATATCTGTATAGCAGTAGTAGCCTATCTGTCAAGGATAAAGAAATGTCGGTGTCGGGAACATGGCGCCGGCATATCTCTATCATTCTCTCTGTCTCCCTAGGGCTAGCCCTAAGCTTCTCTAACTTTTATATTTATTTTCTAAAATATGAATATAATACAGTTTACCTACAGGCCTATATGCATGCAGTGCCCTGATGCATTTGCGCTCAAATCTCTGACAGCTGAACCGTGAGGTGAACAATTATTGTTTTAGGAAAGTAAAAACCAATAAAACAATATAAAGTTTTGAATATGCTCCACATCGAAACACAATGAATCGTTTTTTTTTGTAGTTTGTTATAGGCAGTTTTTAAGGATACGTAAATGTGGATCATTTTGCTAATATCGCTTGTTTATTGATGACACTGGCAGCGTCCAGTCGGAGGTTTCTTTCTTTCTTTCTCTCTCTCTTTCTACTCTCGGATCTGAATGGGTCTCTCGGATCCGAACCGGCGCGGGTCTGTTTGGGTCTGTTTTTCCACGGGCCTTTTCGGAACGGGTCTGACTGTCCTCGGGTCCATTCGGAATGGGTAATTTATGCATATTGGGCCCAGTGGAAAAGCCACGGATCCATTTCGCAACGGGACCAACTTTTTGGACCCTTGAAGACCTCTAGATAGTGGGACGTACAGAAACAGGGCCCAAACACACACACACACACCTAATGGCAGGAATTAATATATTTGGGGGAGAAGGGGTGCTAAGCTGACATATTAAATTGTTTTAAGATGGTCATACTATGGATCATTTAGCTATTTCATTTAGAATTTTGGGACCCCTTTAGGTATCAAAAATATATTTAAAAAAATGTATTTAGATTTTGGCCTTTACTACTAAAGCCCATAGAGACACGTTGAATAACACGTTCAGAAATGTCAAAAAAAGAAATCATAAGAAACAAGGTTTTGTAGTGTCTGTCCTAATTCTAATAGATATAAAAAAACTCAGGAAATATATATATATATATATTTTTTACACATTTAACCCCTTTTTTGGGGTAGGCACAAAAGTACCTTCGTACTTGCATTATTATTTTTTATCCAGTACCATTACATTCAGATGAGTCGTGTGACACTTGTGGGGGACATAGCGCAAAACGGAGAACACCATCGTGCTCGTGAGAATCTCCCATTTACACAGGGGGGTCCCATTAGTTTGTAGCCCAAACGGTTCAGACTCTACCAAACAGAAGTTGACAGATCGACATAACCGACTTCAGATGAGTCTCCTGACCCTTGTGCTGGCCATAGAGTAAAATAGAGATTACCATCGTATTCGTGGGCGTCTCCCCTTTCCATAGAGTAGTTTGTAGGTCCAACAGTTCGGAAGCTACAGATGTTTTTGTGAGACGACCGATTTTCGTGACGTCTCATGGTCTGACAAACACTGCTCTAGCTCTGCCACCTTTCACCGCAGATGCGGAAGTGCGACACTGGCAGATGCTGCAGAAATCTCTAGCTTAAACTGACGGATTTTGATGGGGATTTTTTTGTTATGCAACTTAGATTGACGCACCGGTGTGTCTATTGACTCTAGGGGGTTACTATATCAACCAGAATATCTGTAACATACTCTGTCTTAAATATACTCCCTCTATTTTTCTCTCTCTGGTCACAGCTGGATCAGACGTGTGATGGTGAGACTCCTGACCTGGGTGATCTGGAAGAGTCTGAGAGGGAGACAGTCCAGGCCATACTGGATGTTGTAGACCAATGTGTTGGGAAGGATGAGGATGAGATCAGATCCTCACTTCTCAGTGCCATCCACCTCATTGTCAGTGCCATGGACGGTGAGATAGAGAGCAATTTTCACAGGATTCTGTGTTATTATTTTATCAGTTACTGGGAAACTAGGTTCACTACTGTGGTTTTATATGTGTGCATATTTATTTCTGCAGGAATGACAGATGAGGGTATCTCTGTGTTGGGATCCTGTTGCAGTCCTCCAGTCTTACAGGCCCTGCAGATCCTGGTGAGTTCACACCTGCTTGATTGAGCCTCCAATCCTGTATGGACTGGACTTCATTTTTCTAGATTTTTGTTTATGTAAATGTATTTGGGTATATCTTCCCATTCTAAATAAACGAATATTTCTACCATTATGATAACATTGTGCCAACAGTAGCAGTAGTAACACCAATGATAGTAACCAGTGGCGATTAAAAAAAAAAAAAATGTTGGTGGGGCAAACTCAATGAAAAAAGTGAATATGAATCGATACATTACTACACTACACTAACCATAGAATGCACCATCATAAATAATTACCACTCCCAGAAATGTGTTTAGAGCCACACACACAAACGTTCTAACATATGGGTTATGATCAGTGTATAGGCTACTTTCCCATATCTTTGGCTCTCATTGCACGGAAGACCATGGTAGTCCAGCATACTTTTATAGAGTAAAGTTTATTTTACTTCAGAATCAATATCAGCATTGGTCTGCAATATTGCTAATCATTGTTAGAGTATTGGGACACTGCCCAACACCATTCTGAGTGTAGTTACATCTGCCTGTTAACAAGATGATCCGGATATGAATAAAGCAACAGTTTTTAAAGCTACTCCCTCGCTTCAACCATTGCATAGGGACAGTTCCACGGGTTATTAAATTCTGACATGAATCATTAACAACACGTTGTAGCTAGCTAGCTGTTAGCCACCACAAGTTCTATCCAAACCACTCAGGTTGAATTATTTTCTAACTTGCTTTATTTTAATGGAGGCCTGTTCATTGGCTGATGAGCTCCAATATGTTTTATCTCTACATTTACTTTATTATGCAAAGTTTGAAAATGATTTACTAGGAGATAGTTGACATGATTCATGATTACTTTTCAGCTAGCTAGCTAGAAGACGATAAACAACTATGAAATTGACACATCCAATCAAAGCTACCGGAGATAAGACGTTGATTTATCTGTGGCAAATGACATCAAGCCTTCTTGGGCGGGCACTACTATTGAATTTCTATGGCAGCACCCATGTGGGAAACAGCTGTCTGAGTCTCCCAGTAAATAATAATAATAATATACCATTTAGCAGACGCTTTTATCCAAAGCGACTTACAGTCATGCGTGCATACATTTTTACGTATGGGTGGTCCCGGGGATCGAACCCACTACCTTGGCGTTACAAGCGCTGTGCTCTACCAGCTGAGCTACAGAGGACCACATGCTGTTGCACTGTCCCAATGAATTCACTCACCCATCTGAACCTTTGAGAATGTGCCAATCACGTGCAGCCAATTGTGCGCAACCAGAGAAGATCAATGAGGGCTTTCCCCTGGCTGGCCTCTCCACAACACAGATCACTGAAGGAGGCTGAAACAGCTGCATTAGGGAGCTGTCTTACTCAAAGTGACCAAAATAACAATACAACCGGGAAGCGAGCGCTTATGCTTTATTAGTTCAAGCAAATCAAATGTGTTTGCTTACTGATATAATATAATGTTGTGACGTGAATGAAAGCCAGAATTACATGCAAAACAGCTCCATCTCCTGGATAGTTGTGGGGCTACCCTGAATGACTCGTCTCCACTGACAGTAACACCAATGACACATTTAAGTAATTTAGGATTTTCTTAACTGAAGGCCACCCCATCTCAAATCTAAGGTCATTTAACCTTTAGTAAATTATTAAGCAAATTATTTTATTTTTAAGGCCTCCCGAGTGGGGCAGTGGTCTAAGGCACTGCATCGCAGTGCTAGCTGTGCCACTAGAGATCCTGGTTCGAATCCAGGCTCTGCCGTAGCCGGCTGTGACCGGGAGACCCATGGGGTGGCACACAATTGGCAGCGTCGTCCAGGGTAGGGGAGGGAATGGCCGGCAGGGATGTAGCTCAGTTGGTAGAGCATGGCGTTTGCAACGCCAGGGTTGTGGGTTCGATTCCCACGGGGGGTATGAAAAATAAAAAAATAAAATAATGTATGGGGAGTAGTTTCAAAATCAGTTAGCACTCACTAACTGTAAGTCGCTCTGGATAAGAGCATCTGCTAAATGACTAAAATGTAATTAATCATTTTGCTCAGAGTGTAATTTCCCTTCATCTCAATTGAGTTACACCAATGACACTTTTTATTTAAACACACCAAATGATCAATGGAATCATTATATTTATGACGTACTAAAAGGGTGTGATTAGCAAATAATTGTATTTAATATAGACCCCTACCCTAATAACAGTTTGCCACTGGAAGGAATGCTCAAGATCCTTGTATATCTTTGTAATGAGTGATTTACAAGGCGGTAACACTAATGATATTAAATAAGTTTGTTTATTTTATAGCATTCAAAATAATAGATATCTCTAAATCCCAAAAACATGTCACTACCACTCTACCCATCACTACTGGGACAAGCCAATTTGTTTTCCATAAGTACTTTAAACAATGCATAGAAATAAGGTTTTGCAGTATAAATGACTTGCATTATGTTTTCACATTGATAAACAGTTCAATATCAACTAAAACATGTATAATGTCTAACTATTTGTCATTTTAAAGAGTTTTTTTGATTGTTGCATAGTCGAGGGATGCAAATGCCAACTTAATTCAAGAATGACCCAGAAAATAAAGCATATAAATGTTATTCCTGTGCTGCTTGTCCTCCAGGTTCAGCATGTGGCAGAAGGAAGTGGGGAGACCCTCTCTCTGAGAGATGCAGGTCTGGCTGTTCTGACTGAGGAGGAGGTGTTTGGGAGGGCAGAGAGTCTATTTGGTCACTCTAAAGTTACACTGAAGAGAGAGGAGGACACACTGAGGACAGAGATGAAGGACCAGGCTGGACACCTTCCTCTTGTCATGAGTATCACTGTGAAAGGCCTGGCTTCTTTAGTGTAAGCTGTGAGTGAGTGAGCTAGAAAATCCTGTTTGAACTGATACACTCACGATTCCATTCCATGTTTTACTCTTGCACTAGTTGAGCTAAAGAACTAGTGAACAACAATGTATGTATCCTTGTACTGCTTTCAGTAAAGTTCAACAAACAATATCAGACGTCCCGACCTCCATTCTTCTAATCATAAGATAATATATCATAAAGGTACACTGGTGGGAGGAGGGCGGGGGGGGTCCTACATTTAGAGCATTGTCTAGTGACCCACATGACAAGAACAGAAACTGAATTCTGTTAAAAATACTGTTCACCAGAATCACGTCTCCAAAAAAATCCTAAACATTTCTGTGAAGTCTGTTATTGTACTGTACAGTCATTTGAAAGTGTAAACTTTCTCACATTACCGTGCTACCAGGTGCAAAAAGTATACTTATTAAAACATAGATGAACTCCAGTACCCTGGTAATATTGATGCCTAGAATACCAGTGTGATTAAGTTTTTCTTCTTTTTAATAATGATTGTATACTCAAAGATAACATCCCCAATGCTCAACATGTGGAGTCAGTATGATGGCCCATTCCTGTGATGTCGCCGAGATTCAGTGTTTGAACAACATAGACATTTTGTCATCAGAATGCTACAGTATGTTATTACTGCAAGGCTCCTGTGATTTGTTCAAACTGAAACTAAAACTTACCCTTGAGAACTGTTATTGCAGTTTGGAACTGATAACCATCTGTTAGTGTTTGACTCTCCTACAGTACAGTGGTGAAGTATGTGGATGTGACTTTTTGACCCTGTAGTAAAAGTTAGGCCCCGTACACACTCAGGTTGTACAACTGATTCACCACACATTGGACACATGATACAGTAGGCTACTACTGTAGTTCATCTACACAAATATTTCACACAACCATTGTGCAATGTCTCCACAACACTGTTTGTGCAGAAACACTCTGTTGTATCATAACAGTTTTATCAAATGCGTTGTGCATTAGTTCTATAACTTCAGTGTGAACAGGGCCTTAAAGAAAACATTCCTCATTACACAAGCTGTGCTTAGGTAACCTGAAGAAACTGAAATTGGATGTGGATAAGTTACTGAGCTATTACACGTAAGAACAGGAGCATTATTGGGCTCCCGAGTGGCGCAGTGGTCTAAGGCACTGTATCTCAATGCTTGTGGTGTCACTACAGATCCCCTGGTTCGATTCCAGGCTGTATCACAACCGTGATTGGGTGTCCCATAGGGCGGTGCACAATTGGCACAGCGTCGTCCGGAGTAGGCAGTCATTGTAAATAAGAATTTGTTCTTAACTGACTTGCCTAGTTAAATAAAGGTAAAATAAAGTATTCTCTGGTAAACTCCAACAACCCTGAGTCTATGTAGGAAATAGAGACGTTGTTGGACACAGGGGCAGACACTCTACTTGGACCTTCCAGCTAAGCACATTGTTCATATGAACATCCAGGTACTTGTACGAACTAACCTCTGCTTTGTTGAATTGCATTTTGAAACTACTCCCCAACACTGCTTCACTGCTATGTGGATGACAACACTTATCAAACCGAAATATACCTACCAGTAATTTGGCATGTAGTCTGCTTCTCATTGAGTTCTGCCTGCTTCTAATAAAGTTACAGTATTTTCTCATGAAATAAAACAGATGTGAAGAGCAGGAATGCAAGAGTGGAAGAGGAACGTTTCCCAAGAAGGGGTTAAGATAGAGACTCCTCCTACTAGTATGTAATGAACTCTTAGCTAATGCATTTCAAACATACTAGTATCTCATTCTTAATAACATATCTCCAAGTCATAAGGACCCAGAGGAAGAAGCAGTGAGAACCTGGTAATGAAGCTCTTGCAGTGTTGCGATAAGAAAAATATACAGCATGCTTAGGATAGACTTGAATGACCAACATTTTTGACTGAAATTATTTCCTGTTTGTATTCCTGTCTTGTCATTAGCGATGCTACTCTTTTCTGATCCACTCTTTTCCCAGGGAAAGGGAACCTTTCAAAGATTGTGTTTGCATTATTGAGTGTCTTGCCATCTTTCAAGTGTGTGAAATGTATTTAGAATGATCTTCAGAAGCTGTTGTATTGATTGAGTGTCTTTGTCATCTGCTGTAGCCCGAAACACGATCCACAACCATCATGATTTCCAAGGCCGTAAAATCCATGCTGAAGGAAGTACATTTTAACGGTAGCCTGATCCCTGTGTCCAGTCTGAACGACAGTTCTGGTAAACTGAATCTCCTCTCACTCATTGTGAAGACCAGGCCCAGATTGGGATGCTTCTGGCAGGAACCGAAATACCAGTCCAGAGGCTTTACCCTGAGTGATGTGCTGAAGCCTGGAAAGCTTGGAGAACCTGAAGACAAACCTTTAAACCCAGGTAAACACTGCAGCCCCTCCAGCAGGGTTGCCAGGTCTAGCTAAAATGTACCTAAATAAATCCCTTTTGCGCATGTGCATAACTATAGATACATCTGGCAGGAGAGTTTGAGTGATGAAAGTTTGATCGAGGATCTCAAAATCTCTGAGCAAGAAACACTTGGACTAACTTTTAAAAAATGAATGTTAGGCTATTTTCTGGCAATTGTGCCATTATTATGTGCCAGATGTTAAGACTACAAACAGTTATAAATGGCCCATTTGCGAGATTGACTTTCAATAGGTATAGGCATAGACTACAGACTAAAATCTGGGATTATGATTGTGATTCAACTTTTCCATGGTTTGCTTGATAGATGCAGGTAGCCTATAGCCCCTCATAGGCCTACATCTTATTTCAAATAGCTTACAGTAGCGTAGGCAAGATGTCAACTGAACGATTTAGCAGTTTGCTTAGTTCAAATTAGCAGAATAATTTATTAAACATGAATAGCGAGTCGATTTCGAGTTAAGAAGTGCTTGTGTTATAGAAATATTTTATGTATCATTAAGGCAAAATGTTGGGAAATGTCAAAGGTAAAATATAGTAAACATGATGGACATTTTATAATCCAGATGCATGCCTAAATAAGGAATATAATCAATGCAGTGTGTAACCGTGCTTTAATGAATGTATGTATATAATTTTTTAAGAAAGTGTCTGAGCCACGCCACCAATAAAAAAGTGCCCATGGCCTTTTGGAGTAAACCACATGTGACATCTGGACGTTGAAAGATAAGGGTAGAGTGGCACTAAAATAAGTTAATCATTTGCCCTAAGGGGAGTAACTGTATATGCTATGTAAGCATGATTGTGCACTTGTATTTGTATAAAAGGAGATCTTTGAGCCAAGGAGAGCCAGGTGTTCCATGGAGCAGCTCGGCTTTGTTACGCGATAATAAAGTCAAATTTTTGCATCCACAAGCTCCAGTTTCTTGAGAGATATTTTTGAGTTGACTACTTTTGAGTCAAATATTTCTACGACATAAATGGCGAGCGTCGCCAGGAGTTGGAAACAGGGACCAGAGACGATGGACATCTGCGCCTGTGAAACGGCCTGGACGGACCATACAAACAAAGCGGCCGCTTTTAAAAAAGGTAAGCCAAGTTCTTACTTATATAGTATAAAGTTTGTGTGGTTCGATCCGGTGCCCGGCCTCAGCCGCAGAATACCAAGCAGGTCTCTCCAAATTTAAGAGCCAGAAAATTAGAGACTGGGAGCTTTTGGATTTAAGAATACATGTCGATGTCACTCTGTTGTTCGTCTGAACCGTCTGTTCAATTCATTTGATTAATTTGATTCATCCTGCTGATCGCTTTGTCTGGGTTGCTTTGGCACGGGCGGCTGTCCATCTGTTTGAACGATCAGATAATAAATTGGTCAAAGCCCTACAGATACCGCTCTAAACGTGTCAAGGAAGTGTATCGTTTAGAGGGCTGCTTAGGTAGGCAAAAATCCTGTGCAATACCGCTTTTTTCTGTGTCGGAAGTGTATCAGAAAAAAGGGCTGAATTTACAGATCGCTTAGGAAAGCGTAAGATAGAAGTCCAGTAAGCGTGTGTCGAGGAAGTGAATCACCTAGAGGGCTATATAGGTAGATAGAAATCCTGTAAAAAATCGTCTTTCTTGTGTCGGGGAAGTGAATCAGAAAGGGTTGATCAGGTAAAAAGATAGGTCATCCGGAGTACGTGACATAAATTGGAGTTAACACCGCTCATCCTGAGTAGGTGAACGGGTTAAACAGCCACTAAGGCTTCAAAATATAGAGAAAGTGTTAGATAGAGTAGGTCTGATCATCTCATGTGGATGAGTGGTTTGCTTGGGCTACTGTGAGTCATTCAACTGTCTGATTCATTTGGGCACAAGTGGCTGCTCATCTGTGTGAGTGAGAATAATAAAAAATCCTGCAAATAATAGCCTTTTCTGTAAGGAAAGGAACTATATTTGAGGTCGTTTGAAGCTTCTGCCTGGTGGAGAAAGGGCATGCCCAATCTCGCATTAGGAAAGAGAATAATTCATGTTATGTGGATATACATTTACCAACTGAGTGGAAAATTCACATTACTAGGAGGGGTATGAGAAATCCTGTAGGAGGAACAGGTCACGTGTACCGGTGTGATCATATGACATCTATGCATTGTATTTTGGTCAATCTTTCAGGGTGTGTTTCTGACATTATATTTGGAAACTTTAGAGGTGATGTAGTAGTGTGATAAATTGACTACAATAAAATAATAACTGGGATAGGGTTAACATTCCAAATTTGGGCCCTTTGATAGAATAAAATATTCCTGTAGGTTATACAAGTAGTAATTAAGCACGTTTGAGAACAACATTGTGTGAATGTGGAATGAGAGTGGTATAATGGTGTAAATGAGTCGCACTCTGAAGTTTGAATGATGAGATATAGAGGTGTGTATGATAATTATATATACGTTTGAATAATAAGCTTTTCATGTAAATGATATCTTGGAGTTTCGTACAACAATGCCTGTCATAGAATTTTGTAAGATCAGTGAATAGTGACCAGCCTATACGATTCTGGGAGGATTCTATGACTGAGGGGAAGGATTTGGGTAATTAGTTGTTGTTCCGCTGAGATTAGATTATGATTAACTGATTTGTGGCAATAGAGAATCATTAGAAACATGAATGGTTTGGTTGATGTGAATATATTAGAATAGAATGAATTTTATGTGAGAGTAATTTATTATGAGGGATTGGATGAAATAATAGGTGCTGACTTGCACACCCAAAAACGTAGACGTACGTGAGGGGTGGGAGAAAGTACATAGATCATTTGATAGAAATAAGAGTAGGCATTATGATAACTATCTATCATTTTAAAGCAGAGGTGAGATAGTAAAGGAATTTTAGTATAATAGGGGGAAAGAACATAATCCATTTGGTTGAATTCGTTAGATCTGTTTCCAAATTAATGAATGTAGATTTGACTCGTTGACTGCTAAAGCTTCTAGCTTGTGAAATCTTAGTCCTGTAAAGCTATTTTCTGATAAAGTGTGGTATGTGCCAGATACTAAAACTGCTGACCATTATCATTGGAATAAAGGAGGATTTACTTGTCATTTCAATAAAGCATAGATTCTACATCGCTGATTAGAATCTAGGTTTTCTAAGTATAGTTCAACTATGGTTGTGGGTTGTTTAGATTGACGGAACAGTCAGGATAAGACTGGACGATTTAGCAGCCTGCGTCTTTTCAGACTGAAGGACTCACTTATTCAACGGGAAAGAGGGAGGAGTGACTATAGTCTAATCAGAAAGGACAGTTACATACATTTGAATAGCGGACTGGCAATTGCGATAGAGTTGTGGCCATAATTTGAATTGTTTAGGTAGACTGGAATGAAAGTAACGTCTTTTAATAATATGAATACAAATATACTATTAGTTATTGTTGGGTTGTGAATAGACTTTAATAATGCCATGTTTTAGTTCTCGGGTAAAAGAGAGTCGTACTTGCTTGACTGTATCGAGCTGAAAGAGATATTTGAAGCAAGTCTGAATAGTTGGATGGAAAACATTTATTTGACAAATTCTAATTGTTATTACTTTATTCTATAGTTTGCGTGACACCAGTGATGTATGCAAATAGTTAATTAATTCTAAAACTATAATTTTTTTCGCTACGTGGACCAGTGGAGTGTAGGTAGTTTTAACTATTATGCTGATGGAATAGTACGGCCTTAATGTAGGTTCTAGATTTGTTCAACAACAAGTTTGTATTTTAAACTAAATTAATGCAATAGGCTACAATTATAACATTATCAGAAAAAGGCACAATCTAATGCGAAACAGTTATTACATACAGTGGGGAAAAAAAGTATTTAGTCAGCCACCAATTGTGCAAGTTCTCCCACTTAAAAAGATGAGAGAGGCCTGTAATTTTCATCATAGGTACATGTCAACTATGACAGACAAAATGAGAAAAATAAATCCAGAAAATCACATTGTAGGATTTTTAATGAATTTATTTGCAAATTATGGTGGAAAATAAGTATTTGGTCAATAACAAAAGTTTCTCAATACTTTGTTATATACCCTTTGTTGGCAATGACACAGGTCAAACGTTTTCTGTAAGTCTTCACAAGGTTTTCACACACTGTTGCTGGTATTTTGGCCCATTCCTCCATGCAGATCTCCTCTAGAGCAGTGATGTTTTGGGGCTGTCGCTGGGCAACACAGACTTTCAACTCCCTCCAAAGATTTTCTATGGGGTTGAGATCTGGAGACTGGCTAGGCCACTCCAGGACCTTGAAATGCTTCTTACGAAGCCACTCCTTCGTTGCCCGGGCGGTGTGTTTGGGATCATTGTCATGCTGAAAGACCCAGCCACGTTTCATCTTCAATGCCCTTGCTGATGGAAGGAGGTTTTCACTCAAAATCTCACGATACATGTCCCCATTCATTCTTTCCTTTACACGGATCAGTCGTCCTGGTCCCTTTGCAGAAAAACAGCCCCAAAGCATGATGTTACCACCCCCATGCTTCACAGTAGGTATGGTGTTCTTTGGATGCAACTCAGCATTCTTTGTCCTCCAAACACGACGAGTTGAGTTTTTACCAAAAAGTTCTATTTTGGTTTCATCTGACCATATGACATTCTCCCAATCCTCTTCTGGATCATCCATATGCACTCTAGCAAACTTCAGACGGGCCTGGACATGTACTGGCTTAAGCAGGGGGACACGTCTGGCACTGCAGGATTTGAGTCCCTGGCGGCGTAGTGTGTTACTGATGGTAGGCTTTGTTACTTGGTCCCAGCTCTCTGCAGGTCATTCACTACGTCCCCCCGTGTGGTTCTGGGATTTTTGCTCACCGTTCTTGTGATCGTTTTGACCCCACGGGGTGAGATCTTTCGTGGAGCCCCAGATCGAGGGAGATTATCAGTATGTCTTCCATTTCCTAATAATTGCTCCCACAGTTGATTTCTTCAAAC